ATTCGGCTATTCGATCTGCTCTACATTATGCAATTATAGCTCTACAAATGTAACTTTAATACACACACATGCACACATTCACGCATACAAACCTTCGCACACGCCCACTCACATACACGCACGCCTCTCGCCGCACTTTTTCTGGCCTCTTGAAGACGCCGCCAACCGCGACGCATTCACAAAAAGTTGCCACATGGAAAAACAAACACTGCGAAAAACCGAAGACAGCTCATGAAAAATGTGAACAAGAAGAAAAAGAAAAACAATAAAAGACAGCAAAAGCGGAATGAAGATGAACAGAGCGAGAAAAACTGAATTTGCACACTTCACTCTGGCCTAACCAAAGTAACTTATGCGCTTCCCCAACTTTTCAAGTTTGCTGCATATGAGAGGAGTTATGCGGCTGGCCGACACTAGATGGCGCCTGTGGGCACATTCAGTGCAAGGACAATGCCAGAGCAAAGGGAACTTATATAGAGGAGTGGAATGGCAGGAGATGGAAAAATGCGAGAAAACAAATTTGTGCAAACGGAAAAGCCAAAAATTAGAGCAGAGGAAAAAATAAAGAAAAGAATGTATCCGAATCGAAAACAAAATTAAATGATTAAATGTTTAGCTATTGCAGCTAGTTCAATTATATTTTAGGATTAAATTTCTTGAATTTAGATGTTTTTCAATATAATTGAAGCTCAAATTTCTTTTAAAATTCCTTAATAGTTTTTGTAAATTAGGAACCTCGATTGAGAAATCTCTCAGCTTGTCGCCATAGTCAAGAATTTATTTATATACTACACAATATATATGTATGTACATATATATACTTAATGGGCTCTGCCACGCCTCCTGCTCGGCCAAAGCACTGCTGATGTCTGATCAGACAGGCGACAGCTCGAAGAGCCTCAAGTGCCACAGTTTGTGGCACATTTCGTGTGGCAAGCGTGGCTCACATTTGTTGACCAAACGAGCGCGTTGCAATATTTTAATGGGTTGCTAGTGGAACTTGAACATGTCTGAACATGTCTACCCCATTCAAATGCAAAAAGTGCAGCAAAAGTTGCTGCCATTTGGTTGCAAAAATATTACAAATATTTACGGAAAACAAGTTTCCATTAAATTTGACTGTGAACAGAAATAAATCGAAACAAGGCAGAGCTTTGTATTATTTTTTAAATTAAACTGCAAACAGTTATGCTACATTTAAAGTTGAAAATCCAAAATTCTTTAATTTAAATGAAGGTAGTCCTCATCATTTTTTTTTTAATTTTTGTCCAATTGCATAACAAACTATGATTGTACTTAAGTCAAAGACCTCGACAAAACTCATCTGCTTTGATTTCTAACTTTTTTCTCTCCAAATTTCATACTATTTCCTGTTGTTCAGTGTAATGTAAACAAACTTCCTGATTTTTGCAAATTTCACAATATGAAATTTAAAATCGTTTCTTTGCAGCCCCATAAATTTTAACAACTCAATCGAATTTGTTGTTTACAGAGAGCAATCTGTATGGAGAGGGCGAGGCCATCTAGCATGCTAAAATATAAATAATCGAGCAAAGTGTAGTCCAGCACATATACATATGTACATACAAACATTTACATATACAAGTATATGTGTATGTATGTGGCATAATGGGGGAACACGTGCCGGACCAGCAGCCATGGATGAATAAATGTCAAACATTTTGCTACGCATCATTGCCACTTTCCGCCCAATTTTCCGGATATGAGAGTGTTTACGTGTGGTGTACGCACGAGTTCCGTTTTTAATCAAGTGGACAGGCCATTTATGTGCGCTGTGCCTACAGCCGGCAACAGATCAACGACTATTTGCCAAACAACTCAAATTCAATTTTAGAAACATCAAAAAAATATATATACGAAAAAGAGTAGAGTACTTAATAAAAAATAAATATAAGATGTAGGAAAAAAATATACATATACAAAAAATAAATAACTTCAATTTCAATTTCCAAAGTAGATATTAGGCATATAAAATTATTTTATCAAATAAATAGATATAAAAGTGATTAAACGATCTTCAAGTAAAGCTCAAGCATGCTAAGTTCAACTTTATATTTGAATACAATTAATTTCTGCTTGTAGTTAACGTTCGTTTATTAAATATATATATATTTTCAAATACGCCATATGTTTACATATAGAATTGCGTATTTCTGGACAATTAGGCATAAACACATACAAACTACAATGAACTGCTTGGCATACAATGCATACAAATATAATACAGACATTTATGTTTGTTTTCGGTATACAACATTTCATTGATATTTTGATTATTAAAACACATCGAAAATATTACACGTACAAAACAACTTTTCTTTTCGTTTGGTTTCTCTTTTAGATATTTGAATATGCTTCATCGTCAATAGTAGACGTACAATTGGATGTATGTATATTTTTCTTTATATATTTATGTATATAAATTGATTATAAAAAAAGATATTGTAAATCATATACACATATAAAAATCTACAATAAGGCAATTCGCTTATAGGTTTCGGCCAGGGAAATACAATTTATTTTTGCTTCATATATTTCTGTTTCATCCATGCATCTTATGTTTGTTTCGTTTCGTTTGCTTACATGTTTGTTTCATAATTAACATTTAAAGCTTTTTAAATTAGAATTCTCTTACAAATAAGTACATGGAATGTGCGTTACTAACTACAAACTAAATTATTTCGCTTTTTACATCATTTGTTGATGTTGATGCATAAAATTCGTTTATAAATTATAGAATTAAACGTTATGCACTAGATGCAATACTCTGTTTTAAATGCACTTTTTAAAGTTTACATTTGATATAAATGTCCGTCTGTTACACCAAATATGATAATGGTTTTATATGCATTGCGTTTTACTTTCGTATAAGACTTAGTTTGACAGCAACATGAAATTTTGGCAAAAATTAAAAAGCATTTTATAGTTCTGCGGCATTCATAATTTTGACAGGAGTGTACACAATTCGACTGTCTATGGTGCCACTTTGCTTCCACCCGCATGCATCATGACCAGAGAGCCAACCATGGCAACCAGCGTGCGATCCAGCCAAGTAACCGGATTTGGATATAAAAAGCCACCCTCATAGAATCCGAGGTGACCACCATGAGCTACCTCCACGTATGCTGATTTTGGGCGAGTGGCTGTATCGAAAAAAGAAAACAATTATTCTAGTTAGAACACAAATATAAAAAAAATTACAAAAACAAGAATAAACCAACTTTTTAATAATAATTAAAAAATAAAAAAATTATTTAAAAAAAAAGGAAGAACTCAAATTTCTCGCAGCCGGTAGGATTCGAACCTACGCTCCCAGAGGGAATCTGATTTCTAGTCAGACGCCTTAACCGCTCGGCCACGGCTGCTTCTGTCCAATTCATTGCAGTGTGCCCATTTCTATCACTGTTAAAGCACTTGTGCTGTCCATAAAATAACGTAGCATTACGGTAACAGAACACCGGTATAACATTACGATAACAGAAACACTGTATAACATTACGATAAAATATTATGTTAATTAACATGAATGTTAACTCATGATTCGACCATATGTTTCTGATGAAAATTAAAAATTAATTGTAAATTTAGTTTCACTTACTAGCATACTCCTTAATTGGATGCAACAAGTCAACCGGAACCAGGGGATCATCTTTGGCATTTATGTAAATCATTGGTTTCTCAATGTTGTCAAAATAGAAAAGAGACGAGCTCCACTTGTACAATTCCTGTGTCGATGCAAAATTATAGACACGTCGTGTATATGCCTCATCTAGTTCCGGCAATGTTGCAGCCGCTATAATATCTCGTTCGTTGAGATTATGACGTGCCTTCACCTCATCCGACAACAGCACATGACGATGGCGCAAAATGATGCTCTTCACATTCTCAGTCATGATATACAAATAGAAACGACGGAAGTTTTGCCAGTTCAGCAGCCACTTGGTACCCCTGTAGATAACACCAAAATTCAATCAGTAAACGATTCACGAACATGAAGAAGAAAATCGTTTACTCACTCGACGGCATTGTAGCCCTGGCAAATGGAAATGCCGCCAATCACACTATTGGGCTTTTCCTTTTGCATTTCACCCATGTACTTGGTGACCAAATTGCCGCCCAGGCTGAAGCCAACAGCAACAATGCGACTCTGCTGGTACTTCTGATGCAGATGCTCTACCATGGCAGCGAAATCGTCTGTGTGGCCATAGGTAAAGATGCGTGTCGAGGTCACCTGTACGGTGCGCAGGGCGCCAATGTGATTCATAACGGCGCAGCGATAACCGTTGCACTGGGCCAGGTGCACAAAGGTGCGAATATAAACAGATTCCGAACTATTCGCTATTCCCGGACAAATAGCCACTGTAATATCATCTAAAAAGAAAGAGACAGAGAGTTAATTATAGTTGCCCATAGCAGCTTAGTTCAACGCTTACCTTCCTGCTCCTTTAGTGGCTGATACAGATCATAAGTTAAGGTGGATCCATCCTGGAGCGAGAGATAGACGCGCTCACCCAGAGGCCACGGGCAACGAACTCGGCCAACAATGCTATGCAATACGGTCTGAACATGACCACTGAATCCCCATAGACGTGGTGGAACATAGCTGCAAATTGTATAATCATTGAATATTATAAATAACATTTAAGATAAACAGCTGTCAATTCATTTGAAATATATAATTGTCTAACTTAACAGCAACCAACTGTTGCATTTTAACAGCCGTAATAATGTTAAGAGCGACACTTCGCAAACAGTTGCGTATGAGTGCATAAAGTTGAATGCATGTTACTCAGCACTCATAAGCATCGGTGGTTCAGTGGTAGAATGCTCGCCTGCCACGCGGGCGGCCCGGGTTCGATTCCCGGCCGATGCAAAACAACTTTTTTTTCGATGATTTAAAATTTCTTTTTTTTTTTTAGACATACATTAGTTGCTACCTTGACAGCAGCCGAAAATTGAATGACAAATAGCACATATGAAGTTAATGCAATAAAAGACAACGACATCATTTTGCAGAAACACACTAATACGAAAATGTGTCACAGGGGCGTACAAAGCAGCTGTTAGAATTAATTGAACTCAATTGAGCTGCAAAATCAGCGCCATTTCTGTCAGGCGTTCAAAAACGTGCAGCACTCTCTCTCTGTGTCATCTCTCCTATTGTCAGTTGTCTGGTTTTAAACGCTTTCCCCTTTTCAATTACTATCAATAAAGAACTAAGTTGTTGCGCATAGGTTTGGGTAAAAATATTGAAGGAAATATTCATAAATTTGAAGGTAAGTATTGTCTCTCGGTGTACATATGAGAATACTTAATCTGTAAATTATATACATATTAACAAAGGTTATAGTATAATTACTTGATCAATTGTCGTTAAATATTAAAGTATTTTAATGGGGACTGGCTGGGGTATAATAAAACGTTGAACTAACAAAACAGCTGCCAAAATTCCCAGGCAACTCAAGTTTAGCATTTTTATGCCATTTTTTTCTTTTATTACTAAACGAGTGCAAAATATGACGAAGGTAAGCGAATGACAACAGCAAAAATTATACAAACTTATGTATGTATGTATATAAATGTAGCTCTCTTTATATACATGCATAAATGCATGTATGCATGTGTGTATACACATGACTCATTCATAAATTCGCACCCCTTTTTCAATGAAACGAAAAAAAAAAACTCAGAAAGAGCTTTCAAAACAAAAACAAAAGCTATGTAACTTCGGCGCGTGTGGAAGCAGTATTAGGCGCAGAGAAGAAAAGAAAGATAAAGGCAAAGAGAAAGAGAGCGATTGCAAGTGCCGTTGCTGAGGATAATGATAAGTGGCTAACCGTTCGCGTTCAATACGCTTACACAATCTTTGTTGTCAAACAACAGTGGAGGACCGACTGACTGGGCAATGCGCCAAAAACAAATCACAAACAGGTAGCCAAACAATATCGCCAGCCGGCAAAAGAGAGTGGAAAAGTTTCGCCGGTTTAATTGATACCCTATAGATGTGCCACTAGATATGGGGTATATAATTATCGTTTCTGTGTCACATATATAAACATCCAAATATACATCAATATACTGTCATATACGTCTGTATATGTGCCTATCGAACAAATTAGCACTCAATCTAAGTTTTTATGTTGTTCAATGGAGAGCTGTTAACTATTTCAGAACTAGGTACAGGGCATTAGCTAGTATATTATTAATTTGTATGCCCCTTTTGTCTTGTTGTCTTCACATATCTAAATGTATGCATGTACATTTATGTGTAGATACACACATATATATATATATACATATGTATGTATGCTATTTTGTGTGTATACCTATTATTTATTTATATAGAGGTTAGAGATAGTATGACATTAAAACCAACTTATAAAATAAAGCACTGGCTATAGTAGAGGCCCCCAGCTTGTTATTCCTTTTATTCCCGAGCGCCCCTCACCAATTAAATTGATAGTCTATTGAAAGCTACTTACTAGGCGAAGATGTTGCTAGGCGTTATTCGCTTCGCTTAAACGAACTGCGTAATTATGATTTACTCTTTGCACCGTTCGCTTATCGCCGTTTGACCAAAGGCAGACAGAATGGTAAAGTGAAGACAGAGCTTGCTTAAAATTGTCTAATCTGAACCGCAAGCCAAAAGAAAAACAAATACATACACACATATGAATGTACGGCTGTCTGTATACATATGTTTGTATGTATCTATCGATTCTTGGGGAATATCCAGGCGCAAAACTGTTGCAAAAAAAAGTTAGTATACTGTAAATAACATTTATATGTACAATTAGATTACTGTAATAAATTGTTATGTGATTATATCAATTCATTGAAAAGTACTATATAGCGACGATGTTCAAATAGCTCATATGTACTACTTAATTATTGTATAGTTTTAGTAAACCTATACACATGTCAAATATACAAACATTTTTTATAGCTTTTTTATTATTATAGTAATCTCAGCACTCATTCTTGACTAAAACCACAAAAGGTGACTATTTTTACTTATAGTGCTATAAATACTTACACTTGTGAAAAAATTTATATACATAAATACATACATATACATGCATATTTATGAAATATAGATAACTATTGTTGTTTACTTTGATATGAATATGATAACATTGACTCGATAAGTAAGAATTTTGAAAATTAAAAAGTTGCCTATGGCAATTTAACGGTTCTATCTCTATACACTTGAATGAGAGCTATGTGAACAACCGAGATTAATCAAACCATTTAATTTAATTGACTCATTATTGCATATTTGATAATCACAGAAACAAAACCAAAATGAAAATAAAAGTTTGATGTGACTAGAGGCAAATGATTCACTCGCCGGGGCAGCTGTTGTCAATTACTTGAACTTTATGCATGTGACGCGGTAATCTATACGTATGTCTATATACAATTGCATATATTCATGTAAAATGTTCATTAGGGTTTTGCTTGCAAATGATTTAAATTGCAGCAATTATGCAGTTACAAATTGCCAGCGGAAAGTGAATGACACCTGCTTATAACTGAACATCAATGCTAATGATGATTTAATCATTAAACATCATTTCATTCTAATTTAATTGATATTAAAGTATTATGACTTAATAATATTCAATAATATTACCAACTGAATATTGTAAAAATTAAAAAACAAAATTAAAAGAGTATATCTTTATACAATTAAAGATTGTTCTAATTCAATTCTCGCTTATTCATTCCTGCACTGTAATCTTAAATTTGTATTTCCAGTAAATTCCATATCATTGCATGCTGTTAGCTAACATTTTAGCGTGGCTGTAACATAGATGCCACATACACATAAATCAGCTGAGCTGAGCTGAAGCGTTAGGCGCGGCGCACAACACGCAAACACAGCATACACACACAAGTATGTATGCATGTATGTACATACATATGTATGTGTGAAATTTGTCTGAGGCAAAACAGAAAAGTAATTGTATTGGTTTGCACATCGATATTGTGTGAGAATACTTTTTTCGTTCACTGTATTATTATCATTAGCCGAAAATCATATGTTTAATATCTGTGTATCTACTTACGGTTCGCGCAGCACCGGCGCAATTTTGTACAAACAATCGAGAAACTGCTCGTCGAGGCACCACACGCTCGGCCTCAAGGGCTGGCTGTGGACATTTAGGATGCGGAATAGAATGCACACGATTACGGCGACAAGCGTTAAAAAGGCGGTAGACATCTTTCTTCTTTTCTGCTGCTGCTATTTTTCTTGAGTTTCGTTGCTCCGCACCTGTGGGTGTCGCTGGCGACGTCAAGGATGCTCTTGTATCCTTAAGCCTTGCAGTTGCAGTTGTTTCTTCTGTGGTTTGTACGCTTGCTATGCAACTATTTTCTGCACCCTGACTGATTCAATTTTCTGGTTTTCCTAACAATAAGTGCGGCATATGAAATACTTTAAAACTTATGATTTTTCTTTTCAAGTGAACATAAAATGCTTACTATGTTTCTTTACATTTGCAGATTGTTGGGCGGGCTGCAACTATAAAATGTTTGCGATTTACACATACACACACATAGACAGTGTCACTTTTGATGCGGCAATCGCCGCTTTTATTTTAAATTCGCTATGCTGGATGAAAGCGTTGTAAAAAACTGCACTTATAAAATCTTTTATTTATTTCGAACACAATACGATTTTGTTAACGCCAACTTTGCAATAATGCTCACACAACAGTCTTCAGACGTCTGGCACTGTTTTTAACCAACTGAACTTCATGTATACATGTTCTGTTTTACTCAAAATGGCACTACTAAACATTTGTCAATTTTTAGTGCGTTTTGTACACTCGGGCTATATTAAATACGATAAAAGATATTCTGGTTTCAAAATTGAACAATTCCCCTAGCTGGTTTAAAATATTTGCTATTTTACGATTCACAAGAAAATGTAGTAAATGTCTATTATACGCAAAGTGTAAGAAATTATTGGGTACATTTAAGACACCCCTAACTTATATAGCGTGTATACTAATAAATAGTATTAGTTCATTTTTTTTTTTAAATTTATTATTTTGTTATTTATTATTTAATTTAAGCAAAGTATGCATATTCAAAAAGCCGTTAAGGCAACAAGAGCATTGAAATGCAGCTGCATACAGTAATCATCTGTCGATAACAGTTTGTAGATAATGTTGGCGATACATCGATGCGCATCGATAGCTGCGATTCATCCAACTTAGAACACGTATTTGTATAGATATGTGCGTGCGCCAAAAGGGGTAATGAAAAACTAGAGTTCAAGCTATGTTGCTTCTTAGCAGCACAAGTAGACCATTTGTTGCTTAACATACGTGAGTAAGTGGTTAAATTTGTAGTTAAGCTAAATATTTCAACGTTTATGTCTCTATTTGCAGGTTATGTGCGGGCACAGCAGCAGCAGCAACACGGCAACAACGCAAGCAACAGGAGCACCGTTGCCCGGCACCTCAACAACACGACTTAAATATAAACTAACAACAATTACCATTCCGACCGCACCAAAATGATGATGCAATTCATATACCAATTGCTTGGCCAACTCCTGATAATATGCATTGCGGCCTTTGATCTACTGCAACAGCTCTGGCTGCGATTACACGCCCTAGCCAGCAGGTCATATGACTACTGGCAATGTGATCAGCGGTCGTTGCTAAGCAGCGCACTGAGCGGGCTGGAGAAATTACCAAAACATCTGGTGTTAGTTGTGGGCCCGGATGATTGCTATGTGGATGTGGCGTTGCTTAAGCGAATTTTCAGCTACGCTCAAATCGTTGGCATACCCTATTTAAGTGTCTACGACACGCGCACCCAGGGCAACGGCTACGTGGATCTGTCGCTCTTCTGTCAACTGGACGAAAAGCGCGAAAGGTGCTACCACTGGCCATCGTCGTCATCCAAACACGCCAAGGAACAAAAAGTAATACAGAATGGCCATAAGGCTACCCAAAATGGCACTAGCAACGGCTATGCCAGCAACGGTACACATCAGAGGCAATTACAGGTAAGTTGGGGTTAAAGCAACTGATAAAGGCGTTATCAATGGTCATTTGAGCTGTTCCTCAATAAGCGTTCATTCATTTCGCTGGAAAGATAACTTCACATGTATCTAGTATTCCCATGAAAACGCCTAATCAGCTTTGAAAATGTATATTTCTTATCTTTCAAATTGTTAAATTGCAGGTGTATCAAATTAGTAGAGCCGATTGCCATGCGCTAATTGCCGATGTCTGCCACGAGCTGTACGAGAGCCGAAAAAGCGTCCAGGTGCAAGCGATGCTGGAGGAGCGCCAAAAGCTAACCAATGGCATCAGTGCTATGCTAAACCAGAGGCTGGGCTTCGTCGTGCCGGAGCCAGAGCTGGGCATAGTGTTCTCCAGGCAGACGTGCACGTACGGCCTGCTGCCGTGGCATGTGCGCTTCACCGAGTTCCATACGCATCGCAGCGGCAGTTACTTCGATGCCAAATCCTTTGCCCAGGTGCTGTACAAGTACGCGCGCTGCGAGCAACGCTGGGGGAAATAATGTGTTGCTTCTTATGTTCTGAATAAGTTACTAAGTTATGATAAAATTTGATGTATACTAGGTTAAGCTAATTGCCTGCAAATTGTAAACTTGCAAACTTAAGCAAAAAGTGAAAAGACACACACACACACACACACACACACACATTATATATATATTATATATATATATATACGTCTATATATATAAATATTTATATGAATTTTTGTTCGCAATTGTTTGTTATTCATAAACGAAATGTATTTGCAGAGATTTACACATGAAGCATGTTAATTTGAGTTTTGCATAAATATTTTATGTATTTTAATTGTAAGTTCGATTACTTAGAGGCTAGTGTTAGGCATTTATTGTATATATGTGTGTATGTTGTTGCCTGGACGCATCCGGCGGCTCTACATGCTGGGCTCGGGCTGAGCGTGTCGCTTCGACAGCAGATTCACATCGGTCAGATACTTATTCTTCTCGATGTTGTGCGGCCCGGCACTGTTGGGCATGCGCTCGTGTATCAATTGAAAGGAGCTGCGCAAGTCCATCAGGGAGTCGGCCAGGCCCTTCTTAATGTTGGCAAACTCGCTGGACATGAGAGAGAGCTTGCCCAGCAGATAGTTCAGATTATCATCCATGTCGATCATATGCTTCTTAGTCTCCTCCACCTTGCTGCTCAGGCCCATCATTGTGGTAAACGTGCTGTTCACATAGCCGTCGTGGCCCGCCTGCATCAGGCCGAGCATCTCGCGGCTTTGGCCGATTTCGGAGCTCATGATCTCGATGCGATGCCACACCTGCGACAGGGCCGTATCCAGCAGTCCGCTGATATTACGAGTGGACTCCTCCTGCGTCTCCACCAGCGTATCGTTCAGCTCGTTGAAGCGCGCCTTCACCAGGCCCGTGAGCTCCGCCACCTGCTGCTCCAGCAGCAGGCTCACCTTCTGCACAATCTGCAGCGTGCCGAACTCGACCTTGCGCTGGGTGTCCAGCACCACCTCCGAGTTGGTCATCATGATGTTGTTGAACTTACCCAGCGCATCGAAGCCGTCGTTCAGTTTGCTATGGCTGGCATTGATGCCCTTGTAGAGCTGGTTGAGCAGCGTCAAGTCGGCCGACAATTGCTTCAGATCGCCCTGGATGTTCGCCTCGGTCTGCTGCATGTGCTCCGTGGTCTGACGCAGTGCTGCACATGGAACGCGAATAGATAGAAAAGAAGTTGACATCTTTCCCTACCACTCACCTGTTTGCTGACCCAGCAGCGATTCGGTCTTCAGTGCGGTCAGAGCATTGAGTGTCTCATTGTTAAGCTCCTGCATATAGGCGCGATCTTTCTCGTTGAGACCCTGGGGAGCAGCTGGCGCCTGCGCCGTGGCATTGCGCAGCTCAGCCACTTGGGTGCTCAGTTGACCCAGACGTTCCAGCAGCTTCAGCTCGAGCTCATCATTCTTGGGCGGAGCCACAGTGGTGACGGCAGCCGCGGCGCTGTGCTGCTGCAGCTTGGCCTCGATCTGGCTCAGCAGCTCGTCGGACTTGGGCATGCGCTCGAAGCCCTGCTGGGTCTGTTGGGCGGCCTGTTTGCTGTTGTCCAGCAGCTGGCTCACGCTCGTCCTCAGCTGCTTGAGCTCGTCGAGCAGCTGCTTATTGATCTGCTGTTGTTCCTTCACAAATTCATCGGGCAGCGCAGAGGCGGGGGCGACAGCGACCGGTGGAGCAATCGCCTTGGGTCCACCGGGCGGGTTCTTGAAGCATTCGTCATTCTCTCGCATCCATTGGAACATGTGCTCCATGGCCCGATTCAGCTTGTCCGTTTCCGTATTGTACTTCTCCTCTTGCTGCACAATGACAATAATAATGGTAATAATATTGACTAACACTAACGCGAATAATATGAATCCACTCACTGTGATCAACATGGTCTCTATCTGACTGACCCGCTCGTCCAGTCGCCCGAATATGCCGCTCATCGGCTCCAGGCTCCGCTGGCCCTTCTGCAGGGCCTGCATTGCCTTCTTCAAGAGCTCGCCCAGTGCACGCTCTCGATGCTCATGTCGCTCCAGCTTGTTGTCCAGCTGATTATACGAATAGATCAGGGATTTTAGGGTTCCACTTAAGTCTTCATTGCTGGAACCACAATGGAAGAAGAAGAAGATATTGAAATAAATGTGGCAAAAAAGTCTTCATAATTTCTAATATTAAAGTATTATTAGTATATTTATAAAAACTATTTTTTTTTTTTAATTTAATTTATTTTATTATTAATTTATTTATTATAATAATGCCTAATGCAAAACATTACGCATTTAAACATTGTTTTTAAAGCTTGTGAATAAATATTTAAAATTGTAATATCGAAATTTTTGAATTCTTTTGTAATATTTGTGTAAAAATTAGTTTAAATTAATAGAAAAAAAGAAAAATATATATGTATATCTGGTCTCAGAAAATAAATAAAACTAATATTTTATTTTAATTAGTTTGGGTAACAAACGTTATCAATTTTTTTTAATTAAAAATATATATATATACATATATATATTAACTTTTTAATTTTAAAAATTTAGTTTGCTTTGAGAATTTACAAATATATTTTAAAATGTATTTATCTAGAGCTTCTTTGCAATAAAATCTAATGAATTCAAAACTAAAAACTTCACTTGAAACATAAAATGAAATTTTGATTTGAAATTTTATTTGACAATTATTTTTTCTGTTCAACATTACATTCCAAATGTAAGTTGAGAAGCAGAAAATTCTTGTGTCAATCATGAGGAAGACATGGGCCGTTTTTATGGCCGAGTCATCGACAGCTGTAAATGCTGATGGAACTGGGACGGCGGCTGGGCCTGTGCCTGGGTACGTCTGCAATCGCCATAAATGACTTGTAAAGATCGAGATCAATTCTCATAAACATGCGCGGCCCACCCTGCCTGCTAATAATCTACAACTCGGCGCTGTCTCAGGGTCAGAAACCCTTTTAGATGCGTTGCATATTGTATGTATGTGTGTGTGTCTGTGTGTGTGTGAAATGCATTTATGCTGATAGATATGCAGAGCAGCAAGAGTTCCAAGTGCCAAGCAGCGAGTGCCATGCGCCCCGATAGGCAACATATGTGCCGCAAGTTTCCCTGTCGCTGCCCATTCCCATTACGCTATCCCATCCCATCCCATCCCATCCCATCCCATTCCCATTCTCATTCCGCAGGCCATTTGCATGAAGTGTGGGCCAAAAATAAATAAACAAACAGCCGGAACAGACAGACAGAGCCACGTCTCTATCTGCCTCCCTCTCTCTCCCTCTCACTCCCTCTCACTCTGTTTCTTTGAAGGCAATAGTCATTAGTTTTGGGGGGGAACTGAGAGCTCTGTCGAAGGCGTTGCCCTATGCATGCCCAGCATATGGCACCCGGGTCTGGGTCTCTGGCATTAGGCATTGGTTCTTGTGTTTACATCCGAGAACTGTGAACGTCCTGGCGCCCCATTCGATATCTACCACATTTCGCAAAGAAACATTTCAATTTCAGTTTTCCACTGCATTATATTTCACGCTTCGTTCCGAAAATCGGAGGCAAAGTGCGTGCGAGTGTTTGACATGTGTCAAACTGATTGCAGTTCGAATAAGATGTATTTGATTTTAGAAA